TTTGCTTTTTTGTTTCTTTTTATTAAGAGAAATACATAGACCACTTTTTTCTTTCTCTTTTTCTTTTTCCTTCCCCTATCCTCTTTTTATTTTTATCCCATTTTCCATATCTTACTTTTTATTTTTTTTATTTTTTTGTATATACTATTGCAACTAATTGGATTAAGGTATACAAGTGCCTGAAGAATTTTTTCCCCCTTTTCCTTTTGGAGTGGCAACTGTTTGCCTTTGTTCTTTTTTTTCTCTCTCTCTTTCTTCACAAATAAGCATTACAAAATGAGTAGAAAGATAACAGCCCCAGCTTCCTTGATACCAACCTCCTCACCATCTGGAGGACAATGATCTATACAGACAAAGTTACAACAGGAGAAAGAGAAAGAGAAGGAAGTGACATTGCAGATGATCATGCAAGGAATTCAGAAGATTAAGGAAAAAATTGAAAAGACAGATGAGAAAGTGGAAAATATTCAACAGATGATGATGAAATATGAAGACAGATTTTTAAAAATTGAAGAAGATATACAAAGAGATAAGAAAATTGGAGAGATTGATACTTGATTGAGTGATGTCGAGAAGGGCAGGAGTGTACCATTGGGATGGGAAATTGATAGATCAGAATTTTATTTGAGATTTCAAAATGTGGAAGAAGGAAAAGGTGAAAATCTTGCTGAAATAATGACATAAATACTGGCAGAAGCATTAGAGATAACAAAAGAGAAGATGATGGATGGGATGGATGAAATGTTCCATGTCTATACAAGATATGCAATGAGAAACAAGTTACCAAGAGAAATACATATTAGATTCACCAAGAAGAAAATCAAAACAAAGATACTACAGGTGGCAAGAGAGAAAAAATTAAAATATAAAGACAAAGAAATTGTGGTGCTGAAACAAGTACCAAGAAGAGTAAGAGAGATGAGAAGAGAATATACATTTTTGACTAAAGAGTTACTTAAAAGAGGAATAAATTATAGATGGCTGATGCCAGAAGGCCTCTTGTTCACTTGGCAGGAACAAAGACACAGAATTGATACAGTCGGAAAAGCGGAGTTATTTTACTTAGAAGTTTTTAGAGGAAAGGAGGAAGAAGAAAGAAGAGTCACTAATTGAATTTCAAGAGAAGTGTATAGCAGTAATTGAAAAGGAAAAAGAAGAAGGTGCAGTAGGTGGTGTACCCAGAGAGCAACAAGAATTAAGATCTACTAGAGCAATAAAACCCTCTCATAAAGCTTAACATGGATGAAAGGAAATTGATTATGATTAACATAAATGGACTTAATTTGCCTGTTTAAAGAAGAAAAGTATTTCATAAATTAGAGAAATTAAAATTTGATATTTGTTTACAAAAAGAACATATTAAAAAACAACATGAATATATATTGCAACAAAAAAAATTAGGGAAATTATTCACATTGCTGACACAATAAAAAAAGAGGCATGGTCTTATATATTAGAGATACAATCGTGGCAGAATTAATTTATACAGATGATGATGGAAGGATTTTGATGGTGGAAATAATGGACAATAATGTTACAACACTTTTAATTGCAATTTATGCTCCAAATGATAATCAAGAAGAATTCTACAGGAAATTACATATGAAAATAATTGAATTGGACTATGTTAATATTTGTATGATGGGAGACCTTAATGGTATCATTAATGATTGGTTGGTCTATAAAACACAGAAATCAACAAAGAAAGCTAGAAAGATATTACCAAAATCTTTCTTTCGAATGATAGAAGAATTAAACTTAAAAGATGCATGGAGAGAGAGAAATGTGGAAAGTAAGCAATATACTTTTTACTCAAACAGACATGCATCATTGTCTAGAATAGATATGATATGGATGTCAGCAGAACTACTTACTAATATACGAGAAATTGAAATAGAACCAAGCACTTGGGCAAACCACCATCCAATGACAGTTATTTGGAAAGGATATAAGAGGAGATCTAGATGGACTTTAAACAATACAATATTAAAGGAAAAAGACTTTAAACAGAAAATAGAGAAAGAATTGTCTTGTATTCACAGAACTGACGGAAGTCTCCACTCTGGTCCACAGTTCTGGCAGGAGCACCAATCGCTCCCATTGGCTGATGCCATTTGACAGCTGGCTATAAAAGGAGCTGTCAAACCGCATCAGCTGTTGCCGCCAGCTGATCTGCCTGTTAGCCGCCGCAGCAACCCTTTATTCTTGGAATAAAGCCTTTTACTGTTAGCTCTGTGTCTGCCTTGTATCTTCCACCACTCTACAACACTGGCGACGAGGGCGGGATACAATAAGAGGTGACCAGACATAAAACAGCTGAGCTCAGTCACTACAAAAAGAGCCGGAGCCACCGAGAGCTGATTAGTTGCAGCCGCCTACACTCTCTGAGCGCAAAGTTTAAGCTGAGGAGACAGGCGCCACCTGACAGGCGCAGCTGCAATCGCTCTTTTGAGAGTGTGAAGTTTAAAACCTCCCCAGCTGAGGAGATAGACGCTGCCACCTCACGATGACTTCTAATCCGGCATTCCCACCCTTCAAGCCGACAGCCGAGACATGAGAATCGTATAAAAATCATTTTTTTCTGCTTCCTGGACACGATAGACCTCATGGATGCCACAGACCATAGAAAGAAATCCTATTTCCTTGGTTTCTGCGGAGCCACGGTTTTTGACACTGCCATGGTGCTGGTCGCTCCGTGTTCTGTTAGGACTATCCCCTGGGAGGAGTTACAAGAGATCCTCTCCAACCACTACTCCCCTAAGCCTTCCCAAATCTCTAGGAGACATGCCTTTACAAATAGAAAGCAGTCTGAGGGGGAGTCAGTTAGTGAGTATGTGGCAGCTTTACGATCAGCTGCCCTACAATGTGGCTTCAGGGATTACCTAGAGGATATGCTCCTAGATCAAATTGTCTGTGGGGTCAAGGACCTGAGATTTCAAAGACGTTTGCTAGCTAAAAAAGACCTGACCCTAGCTATAGCCATAGAGGAAGCACAAGTTGCTGAGCTTTCTGCTCTGTCAGCAGCTGAAATACAAGGGAACCCTATTAGACAAGGCAGCTCAACTATTCATTCTGAGGAAGTCTCCCTAGATGAGAATTCTGAAGATCCAATCGAGGTAAACCGCCTCAAACAACAGAAGCCCCCTCTAGAAGGACCAAGACAAAAAACTAACCTTGCCCCCAGGCAGCAACCCATCTGTCTAAGTTGTGGAAGAACCCATCCCAGGGCATCCTGCAGGTTCAGGAATGCAATTTGCCTGAACTGTCAAAAAAAAAGGCCACCTAGTTAGAGTCTGCCAAGCAGGGAGAACTTTTCCACAAAGACCTCAGCCTACTCCTATTTTCCAAAGGCAAGTTGAGGACTACTATACCTGCTACCACTCAGATCAACAGGCTCTAACAAAATAAGTATCTTTGTTTTTTTAGAAGGTAAGTCCTGCAGGATGGAGGTGGACACGGGCTCTGCACTTTCCATCATCTCCTGGGAAACTCTAAAGAAGATGCATCCAAGAATGTCCAAAAAGAAGCTCCTGAGCTGCCACCTGACTCTGCGTGATTATCAGAACCATCCCTGTCCTCAGGAAAGGCAAGTTTTTAATCCAATTCCAAAACTTCAAAGGCCACTTGCCTTTAGTAGTGGTAGATGGTGCCCTCCCTAGTTTACTAGGATTAGACTGGTTTGCTGCTCTTGGTCTCAGCATAACCAGTATCCATGCCGTTTCAACCTCTGAAGTAGACACCCTATTCAGAGACTATTCTGATGTATTTAGCGAAGATTTAGGGTGTTACTCTGGTACCCCTGTTTCATTCAATGTAGACCCACAGGCAACTCCCATCCACCTGAAACCACGTAGGGTACCCTTTGCTATCCGCCCCAAATTAGATATAGAGCTAGATAAATTACTAAAGCAAGGGGTATTAGAACAAGTAGATTTTGTGAGATGGGAGACCCCCATAGTCACCCCACTTAAGAAAGATGGCAGCGTGAGAATCTGCGCTGACTACAAGACTTCCCTGAATAGATTCCTACAAATCAGCGCCTACCCTGTTCCTGTCATCCAACATCTCTTACATACCTTTGAGCCAGGGACTATTTTTGCAAAATTAGATATGTCCCAGGCCCACCAACAGTTCCCTGTAGATGACCAAACTGCAGAATTACAAACCATAGTCACCCATAGGGGTGCATTTAAGTGGAAGCATCTCCAGTTTGGCCTAAGTGTAGCCCCTGGGATTTTTCAATCCCTAATGGAGAGGCTTCTCCAAGCACTCCCAGGCATAGTCCCCTATTTTGATGACATTTTGGTTTCAGCTAGGGATAAAACACAACTAATTCATAGAGTCAGGGCATCCTTGACCATTTTAGTCAGCATGGCCTTAAAATTAAAAGGGAAAAGTGCACCATCGCCACTAAGCAAGTGGACTTTCTAGGTTACAGAATTGATGCCTCTGGTATACACCCAATTGAGTCCAAAGTCAGGGCTATCCACGAGGCACCCACACATTCCAACAAGACTGAGCTCCAAGCCTTCTTAGGGCTTCTAAATTTCTATACTGCATTCCTTCCACATAAAGCCTCCATAGCAGAACCTCTGCACAGACTTTTAGACAAACAATTCCCCTGGCATTGGGGACCAAGGGAAGCCCATGCCTTCAAATCCGTCAAGTCCTTGCTCACATCTAATGCAGTATTAATTCAATTCAATCAGCAGCTAGCCTTAGTCCTGGCGGCAGACGCTTCCCCCTTTGGTATAGGGGCTGTTCTGAGCCACAGGCTCCCCAATGGCTCTGAGGCACCAATTGCCTTCTTCTCAAGAACTTTCTCTGCAGCAGAACGAAACTACAGCCAAACTGATAAAGAGGCTTTGGCTGCAGTTGCTGCTGTCAAAAAGTTTCACGAATTCCTTTATGGTCACTACTTTGAACTAATAACAGATCACAAGCCACTTTTAGGCCTTTTGTCAGGGGATAAGCAAACCCCACAGGTCCTATCCCCAAGGATGACCAGGTGGACTCTGTTCCTGGCCACCTATCCATACAAGCTGGTGCATCGCCCGGGGAAGAACCTGTGCCATGCAGATGCCCTCAGTCGTTGCCCTTTACCTGTGCCAGTCGAAGACCCCACACCCATCCACGCCATTTTTGAGGTCAACGAACTCAACCTGCCCATCACAGCCGAGGACATTGCCACTCACTCCAGAAGAGACAAGGTAATCGCCCAAGTCCTGGACTGGGTGGGAAAGGGGTGGCCTGAAATTCAGTACACCCCTGAGTTTTTGCCATTCAAGATTCGCAGGCAAGAGTTGTCATCCCTACAGGGTTGTTTGCTGTGGGGGACAAGGATGGTCATCCCTACTACACTACAAGAGCCAGTCTTAAAGGTCCTGCACAAAGGCCACCCAGGCATCATGAGGATGAAGACTCTGTCCTGCAGCTACATGTGGTGGCCAGGCATGGATGCCCAGATCTCCAGATGGGTAAGCACATGCCAGCCATGCCAAGCTACCAGACCAGTACCTCCGGCAGCCACTCCTATCAGGTGGGAGGATTCTGGGGCCCCCTGGTCCCGGCTGCACATTGACCTGGCTGGCCCTGTGCATGGGCGGACTTTCCTAGTCATAGTGGACTCTTTCTCCAAATGGATTGACCTGGCTTTGCTTCCTTCCACAACTACGCTGGCTGTCACAAGAGCCCTGACCAGAGTATTTGTCACCCATGGCCTCCCTGACACCCTTGTATCCTACAATGGCCCCCAGTTCACCTCCTGTGAATTTGAAGTTTTCGCAGCCAATCTGGGCATCAGGCATGTCCTCACAGCCCCTTTTCACCCTGCAAGCAACGGGATGGCTGAAAGGGCAGTTAGGTCAGTAAAGGAGGCCTTGGCAAGGTTTGGCCAAATTGATTGGCACTCCAAACTGTCCAGATACCTACTGACCCAGCATACAACCCCCTGTACCACAACCAACAAATCACCTGCAGAGTTACTAATGGACAGGCGCCTTAGAACCACCCTGGATAGGTTGCACCCCCATTACACCCCTGGCACCCCTTTGGGCTCTGACAGCCAGGCCAGGAAATTCACCCTGCATGCCCTGGTCTATGACAGGAATTATGCAGGGGACCCACTATGGGTGCCAGGACAAGTTATATCAGTTACAGGGCCTAAGTCCTATAGGATCCTCCTGGACAACGGTTGTATGTGGCACCAACACATAGACCAGCTGAGGAGGCATTGGAGAAGGACTACAGAAGACCCCCAATTCCCGCCATATGAACGGTCCACCCAGCGAACGCCGAGGGTCCCCAGCCAAGCGAACTGGTCTACCCAGCAAATGCTGAGGGTTCCCAGCCAAATGACCCGGTCTACCCACCAAACCTAAAGATGTTCCCGAAGCAAATCGAATGAAGGAACCTACCTGGACCACCACCGGACACTCGGACAAAGGCACCTGTTGGTTGAACTCACACTCCTGCAGCCTCCAACACGACCCAGGGGGTGAAGGACTCTGTTCTAGCAGGAGATCCTCCAGGACTAAGACGATCCAGCCGCCTGCGCAGGCGGACGGCCTATTTGCAGGACTACGCATGCTCCTGGCTAGGGGAAAGGAGTGTTGTATTCACAGAACTGACAGAAGTCCCCACTCTGGTCCGCAGTTCTGGCGGGAGTGCCGATCGCTCCCATTGGCTGATGCCTTTTGACAGCTGGCTATAAAAGGAGCTGTCAAACGGCATCAGCTGTTGCCACCAGCTGATCTGCCTGTTAGCCCCGGCAGCTGCGGCAACCCTTTATTCTTGGAATAAAACCTTTTACTGTTAGCTCTGTGTCTGCCTCGTATCTTCTCCCACTCTACAACAAATTGATTTTCTTTTTTAAAGAAAATAGAAAAGAGACTACTTCTTTACAGAATCTCTGGGACATGATGAAGCCCTACACAAGAGTTTTGATAATTGATTATACATGGAAAAGAAATATAAAACAGAAAAAGACTTTTAAAATTTTGGAGGATGACTATGAAAGACTGGAAAAAGAGTTACAGAAGTTCCCACAAAAAAAAAGACATTAAGAATAAAATGGATATGGTATATTTGCGACTTCCAGTTTGCAAGGCTTCAGCAGGAATCTGTGATTGTGCATGGTTTCTGCTGCGCTCACCGCTGGAGTGCCCCCAATCCAGTCAGATTTGGGGGCTATAGTTACCCAGTAGAGGTAACTGAAGACAGGGGAGATCTGTCAGGGGTCCAGGGGAATCGCAACCCCCCTTCTCAGCTGGCTTAACTCCCTTTTCCAAAAGCAGTGGAGCAGCAGTCAGCAATGGCCGCCACAAAGAAGCTTTCATCTGGACAAGAATGCTCAGGAGGAAGCTGAGAAGTGAAAGTTTTTGGCTGAATGGGATAACAAGAAACATTTACATACCCTGGAATTTAAACTTTATTAAAGACACATTGCTCCCAAAGAAGACTTGGAAAAAGCGGCGAACAAAAGTAAAAAGGGAAAGTTTGTTTTTTCTCACTCCCCTTCCTTAAGGTGATAGCAGATGAATGAGAAATCGGAAAAACTTGTTTTTGGCATCAGCAGGTAATTAAATTGGAAAATCAAAGCCAAGGGGACAAAGATTTCTGAACATTGGAAAAAACAACAACTTTTTTTTTGCTATAAGTGGGAAGGGAGAGTAAAAAAATTAATATTAAGACTTTGCTGGAGGAGGGTGCTTGGAATTTATAAGACTAGAGCTAAATTGTGACAAAACTTCTAAAAGATATATTTTAATTGGAACTTTGCAACTGAACTGTAACCCCAGGAAGAGAAAGTATAAAAAGAAGAAAGTGCTAAATGAAACAGTTTGTGTGTATTTGGATTGTTTGGTGACTTTGGGACTTTTGGAAATTATTATTTGAAAGACTAAAAACATTTGGGTTGTTTAAAAATTTTTTCACAATGGCATTACTTGTTGATGAACTGAAAATGGAATTTAAAAAGCTAAAAGAAGAGGAACAAGAAGGAAAGGGCTCTTCTGGATCTGTTTTCCATTTCTTAGAAATGGCGATTTCTACCTACCAGAAACTACAAGAACAAGAAGATTGGGATGAAGAAGAAGTCATCTTTAATGAACAAGCAACTCTAGCTGGGGAAGAAAAGGGAAAGAGGGGAAAGAGAATGGAGAATGGAGAATTTAAGACTTAAAAAAACAACCAAAAAAGGGAAAAATAAGGTAAAAAATTGATACAATGTCAGAAAGCAACAGAAAAGAGGAATACAGAAGAGGGTGGAGATTAAGAGGGTGGAAATCAAGAGACGGGGGGCTAAAAAGGCTAGATTGGAGAAGAAAGGAAGGGAAAAGGGGAAGAGAAGTTACAAAGGTTTGAAACAAGATGTAAAGAAACAGGATTTATTCAGAGATAATGGGTAAAAAATATAATTAAAAAAGAGATTCTGCAAAAGTACATAAGACTGTATTGTTGTATTTGTATTTGAAATGTTAGAAAATTGGAATATTATATGGTTATAAAATGGGATAAAATATTAAAAGGAATGTGTAAAATGCTTAAGATTTAATGATAGAGTTTAATTTGCTATGGATTATTGTTTTAATTATATTATGAACTTATTATTCTTTTTTATTTTAAAATATAGTATGTAGCTTTAGAATGTACTAAGCAGAATCAGAATGAAAATTATATATTATTTTAAGTGTTAAACTTAGGGGAAAGATATAAAGGCATCATACTTCAATCAGTGATTATAGGAGAAATTTTGTGTTAATGAGAAAAGATAATAGATAATTGAAACAGAACAGACAAAAGATATAAACATAATGATTTAAATTGAGATGAAATAAATAAAACAGAATTAAGAGTGAAAAGAGGGGAGAAGCTATATAGAAAATGTAGAATGGTAAATAAGATATGAAATGGTGTATAAAGTGAGCACGAATTCGAATTTATGTCTGTATAAAAAGATGTAACCTGGGATTAAGCTACTTTCCAAAAAGAAGTTTTATGTTTTTATGTTTTGTGTTTTGTTTGTGTATGTTTGTTTATTGAAAATTAATAAAAATTTTATAAAAAAAAAAGAATAAAATGGATATAAGTAAACATAAAATGGGACTTATGGAAAAAGAGGAATTAGCACAAAAAATTAAAAATGCTAAACAGAATTACTTTGAAGATGCAAACAAACCAGGCAGATGGCTAGCCTATAAACTGAGAAAGGAAAGAGAATCAAGAAGGATTAATCAATTAATAAATGAAGAAGGACATGTTTGCTATGGAAATGAGGACAAGAAAAAAATCATATAAGATTACTATGGAAAACTGTATTTTCAAGAGAATATTCAAGAAGAAAAAGTTAAGTAATACTTACAGAAAGCGAATTTACCTCAGATACCTAAAGACATTGAAATAATGCTAGAAGGAAACATAACGATGATTGAACTAACAGAAACTTAAAAAAAACCCAGAATGTTGGAAAAGCACCTGGTCCAGATGGATTGCCAGTGGAATTTTACAAGACTTTCCAGGAAATACTGAACCTCCATCTGTTAGAAGTTACGAATGATGTTATGTTAAAGAAAAGAATACCCCAAAAATGGTCAGAAGCATATATTACACTTATACCGAAGGACAATACAGACATGCAACAAGTTAAAAATTATAGACCTATATCCTTATTAAATTCAGATTATAAAATCTTTGCTTCAATTTTGGCAGAAAGATTAAAAAGATACTTAAATAACTTTATACATGTTGATCAAAATGGATTTCTGCTAAAGAGACAAATTAAAAACAATGTGAGAATAATTCTGGACACTTTGGAATATTATGAGGCACATCCAGAAAAGCAAATGGCTTTGATGTTCTAGATGCACAAAAAGCCTTTGACAACGTGAGTTGGTGATTTATGTTATTGCAATTGGAACAAATGGGCTTTGGTAAAAAATTTATTCAAGCCATTGAAACAATATATTATGAACAAACTGCAAAGATTATGATAAATGGAGAATTAACAGAATCTATAGATATAAGAAAAGGGACAAGACAAAGTTGTCCACTGCCGCCTCTGCTGTTGTGTTAACTTTGGAAGTGTTGAATAAGAATATTACAGAAGATAAAGAAATAAAACGAATGAAAATTAAAAAGGAAGAGTATAAATTGCAAGCTTTTGCAGATGATCTAGCATTCATACTAGAGGATCCATTGGAAACAGCACCTAAATTAATAGAAAAGATAGAAGAATATGGAAAAGTAGCAGGTTTGAAAATAAATAAAGATAAAACAAAGATATCAACAAAAAATATGTTAGCAAGACAAAAGAAAGAGTTGGAAGAAGTTTTAGAAATACAGGTCACAAATAAGGTTAAGTACTTAGGGATATATATATTACACTAAGATGTAGCACACTGAAGGAGGACAATTACATTAAACTCAAACAGCAGTTTACGACAGATTTGGCAAAATGGGAAAATTTACAAATATCATTGATTGGGAGAATATCTACAATTAAGATGAATGTATTGCCTAGAATTCTGTATTTATTCCAGACAATTCCAGTCTGACCAGGGAGTTTTTTGAAGACCTAAATAGAATTGTGTTGAAATATATTTGGCAGGGAAAGAAAGCAAGAATAAAACTTAAACTGCTACAAAATGCAAAAATAAGAGGAGGGTTTGCCTTGCCTCACTGGGAGCTATATTACCAGACGACAAGTTTGATGTTGGTAAAGGAATGGATAACATTAAGAAACACTAGACTATTGACTTTAGAGGGGCATGACTTGCTGCTAGGATGGCATGCTTTCCTTTGGTATAAGGGAACTAAAACACAGGGGTACTTTAGAAGACATTATATTTGAGAGGCACTGTTTTTAAACTGGGAGAAGACAAAAAGACAATATTATTTAAAAATTCCATTATGGATATCTACTATTGAAGCTTTTTCCTATCCAGTAACATATAAAAAGGAATAAACAGTTAGATATGGTGAGATACTGAATGAAAAGGGTGAACTTAAATCTATGCAAGCGTTGGAAGAACAAGATGTAAAAATGAATTGGTTTCATATTTGCAAGTACAATCTAGATTTGATAAAAAAATTAAAACAGAAGGTATTTATGATAAGTTGACTGATTTAGATAAATTTTTGATGGGTACTGATGAAAAGGTAATTAAAAAACTTTATGGACACTTATTAGAATTTAAACTGGAAGAAGAACAAGTTAAAGAAATGATGATTGCTTGGGGGAGAATTTTTGGATATGGGATTGATTTAGACAAGTGGCAAAAATTGTGGTCTCAAAATTATAAAATGACAATGTCAACTGCATATAAAGAAAATTTGTATAAGATGTTTTACAGGTGGCATCTACCCCTGATGAGAATTGCGA